CTGTATATGGTAAAAAATTGGGCCAGTATGAAATAGTTATTACTGAAATTAGATAAGGATGGTGGCAAGAATGAGCTCATCAACACCGTGAAACAGGACTAGTTTGAATTTCCATTATCAAATATATAATTTTGAACTTGGTAAATTAGCATATGATGAGAGTTATATTTGGAAATCCTACTCTGTATGGTGGCACAAAGGAACTCATCAACACCATAAGTAGGAACTATAGTTTTGGATTTCCATCTGTATGGTGAATGGTGATTTGGAAATAAAACTTTGTATGACTTATACACCCATGGAAATTATACCCTGTATGAAGTAAACACACAAGCTCATCAACAGGGGGGGGGGGTGCAGATATAAACTGGAATGGCCCAATGAGACTTAGGGGTAACCTTGACTACACTTTTCAAAACTCAAGTCAACTTTCATTAATTTTCACAAAATTTTAAAACCCGATTAACATCTGCATATAATTAATACTTATGTACATTCGATTAAAAATATTAACAAAAAAATGATAAAAATGACATTTTTATATTGAGCAAAAGTCATGTCTACATTTTAATGAGTGATCAATAAACTCTGGGTGAGCTAACTGTGTGTATAAAAACAACACACACAACAGTACCTATGCATTTATTAACGATCAAGATCTTAATTAGTTTCCCAATTAAAAAAAAAACCTCAAAGAAAAAAATTGATTTAGTGGATAGTTAAAAATGATGAAAGAAAACAAACATTTCAAAGAAAACATTGTTTTGCATATAAATAGATTGATTCAAAGTTGTTTTTGGAAACCAAATTATTATTTTAATGTTTTTTTCTGCAGTGCCTTTGTTAATCTGGAATTAAATAGACACAACTTTCCATTGGCTACAGGTTTTGATGAAAATCTTCAAAAAAATATGTTGCAAGGTTATTTTGTGAATAGTGAGAACAGTCCAGTTTGGCATTAATAGGAGTTTAATCCCTCACTTTTTTGGATGTTTTGTGCCGTTTCTCACGGACATTGACAGATCTTGGAATCGACTCTGCACAATTCTTCCCGACATCGCTATTACGACACATCACAGACAGCTGCTGGTTTGTCAATTTCAGGTAATGATTAGCCTTCCTTGTACATCTTATGTCTTTTAACATCTCCCCCAACTCATCATCCACGCGATTCATCTTTTCTCGGACTTCAAGTTTCCGTGATTTCTGATGTAGCCGAGACTGTACTTCTCTAAGGGTGGTCTCAATACTACGTAGACGTGTGTTGATTTCATCCAAAATCTGTGACTGATTCATCATTCGGTCTATTTTGTTATTGATTCTCTGCCATCCAATCACCTCCTGCATACGACTTAAGAATCTCATCTCTTTACTTGATTCCATCAATGTTGGACCTTCTCTGCTTTCTAACTCTTTCTGTTTGACCGCATTCATCCCACAATTGGCATTGCTGTCTGCTTCATTTGAAGCGCAAGGATTTTTTGATTCTGAGTCTGTTTGTTCCAATGATGTTAAAGCATTTTTACGAAGCGTCTTCAGCCTTCTCGGCTGCGGTATAGGAGCAACTTTTGTACTTTCAATCGATATCAGATTTAAATCCTGTTCTGGTTTTTTATCATCACTGTTTTGAACATCATTCATCCTACTCCCATTTGTGTCAGCGTTTTTTGTCTCCATCATATCAGCTTCATCAACTTCCTCATCGCCATGACTACTACTCAGATTTTCAGTTACAACAGCTCCATCATTCTGTACTGCACTAATGTTGCTAATCCCTACAAATCTTTTTAATTTCTCTAAAACTAATGGCAGATTTGTTAACTGCTCGTCAAGTTTGTCCCATTTACAGTTCATTTCCGATTGACATCCCGCACATATTCTACTCCACATGTTCATCTCATCCGTGCTAGAGACCACCTGACGTATTTGATCATTAAATCGGGACCACTTATTGTCTATGGCACCAAGTACCTTGTATACTTCGCCCAGTATTGTACAGGATTCTTCATCTTTTGACTTCAATATTTTCATGTTTTCAGACACTTCTGTCATTTTCACATCAACATAACAGCAGAGAAGTTTCAACAGTACTGCTTTACTACTGTCAGGTTCGTCCAGCTGAAGACATGACAGAGTCTCGTCCAGTTCCTTCTCCCAATCAGACTTTGAACCAGAATGCAATTCTCCAAGTTGTTCATTCACCTTACCCCACTTAGTATTCATATCTTCAAACATTTTTAGTAACTGTTTATTGAGTATTCTATGCGTTGGTTTGTGCACCTGCGAGGAAGGTTCCACAGCTTTATTCCCAACACTGGCTTGTTCGTGAGTCGGCGATTGCGAAGGTTCTGCGGTTTTATTCCCAACGCTGGTTAGTTCTTGAATCGGCAAAGAGGCAGGTTTCACAGGTTTATCCTCAACACTGGCTTGTTCGTGAGACGGCGATTGCGATAGTTCTGCGGTTTTATTTCCAATGCTGGTTGGTTCTTGAATCTCCAAAGATGCAGGTTTCACAGGTTTATCCCCAACACCGGCTTGTTCGTGAGTTGGCGATTGCAAAGGTTCTGCGGCTTTATTCCCAACGCTGGTTGGTTTCTGAATTTGCAAAGAGGCAGGTTTCTCAGGTTTATTCTCAACACTGGATGATCTTTGCCCATTTGAATTCTGTGCTAGTCTCAACGCAGTTAATACCTTATCAAGTTTGCGATTCACAGCCTTTGCATCCTGCTGTGACTGGCTCAACCTATCGACTTTATCGCTCAATTCTGACCACTGTGAGTGGATGCTCTTCAGCGCATCAAGCACCTGGTCCATCTTCACCTGAAGTGTTGTGTCCTCTGAAGACATGCTTATGTGTCATTGAACCACCAAGAATAATCCTTTTTATAGCATAACTACATGTTATATCTCCTACTAGGCTGTCAACTAAGCAACTAAGTGTTCAGCAGTTAGTCTATGCAGTCCACAGTCCACCAGAGTGAAGCAATCAATAAATCCACTCATCGTACATCACAATGAATCTGGTAAGACCACACCACCATGCAGATAAACTAATGTACATCAATGTATATAGATCAATAAAAGATGCACGTTTGTAGCATGTACACTGTCCACTCAATGCGATGATGCATGTACACTCATCGTAATGAGCTCACACAGAGCTGTGCTGAGACATACCACTTATAGAGTCGTATATCGATATTGATTGTGCAAAAAATAATGTAAATAGCTGCTTAGAAACCAAGCAATCAATCAATGAAATACAGGCATATAAACATGCAATTATTTCTAAGAATACAATACAAATTGTTGAGTTGTACAATACATGCTTAGCTGGGTGTCTTCTTTGAGCTAGACTATTCGAGGGTAATTTTCATGAAAATAAAGTTTTATAATGAACAATTCATTATTATTGGTAAAATGCAAATTATCAAACTGGAATAATTTAAAGTGAAAAGAGGTACATATAAAATTACAGTAAAACAAAGCAAGATTTTAACAACAGCATGCTGATACAGTGAAACTAAACACATAAAAAAAAACGAAAAAAGTTCAGTTAACAGACATGTTTATACAAACTCATAAATGTTGAGACCAGTTCTAGGTTCACTTATACCGGTACATAGAGTTCTAGGTTCACTTATACCGGTACATAGAGTTCTAGGTTCACTTATACCGGTACATAGAGTTCTAGGTTCACTTATACCGGTACATAGAGTTCTAGGTTCACTTATACCGGTACATAGAGTTCTAGGTTCACTTATACCGGTACATAGAGTTCTAGGTTCACTTATACCGGTACATAGAGTTCTAGGTTCACTTATACCGGTACATAGAGTTCTAGGTTCACTTATACCGGTACATAGAGTTCTAGGTTCACTTATACCGGTACATAGAGTTCTAGGTTCACTTATACCAGTACATAGAGTTTGGTTTAGATCAGAGGCTTAAACAGGTTTCATTGTTTCTAACAGTCTCACAATCAATAGTAATGCATAATTACTGGCTATTAATAAAGACAAGAAATAACCAGAAATACACTCACTTCTCTATTTTCCAGCTGTTGTTGTATACGCTTCTGCTCACTGTGTAATTGACGTCTCATTGCTGACAGTGCATGAATTACATCTTTGTTGTCACCAACACGCGATCTCGAAGATGGTATCGGGGGCGAGTTGGTCAGCCGACCATTCTGCAAATTAACACACATCAATATTAACAACAGAATCAACAGATTTTGTGAAAAGCTACTTTATAACGTTCTAAAATTTTTTTTATTTTATTCATATGTAACCCACTGAATACAATGTTGTTTGTTTTTATAATATTGGATGGCAGCCTAAGGAAATAAAATATGTCAAAAAAAAAAATAATTTAAGGTATCAAACAAAATTCTGTGAAAGTCACTGTGCCTCCCTTTCTCAGGGAATTTACTATTGACAAAAATGGCCACCAGTCTTGTTGAGAATGAGAAAGACACTTTTTTTTGCCCTTCAAATAATGTTCCATTTTCTCCCATCATCCTATCCACTGAACCGAATACCATGGTAACTAGGTAAGTGAAGCAGTAGATGCAATGACGGATGAGAATAGAACACTATTTACAGGAGGAAAAAAGTGCCATAGCTCTCTTGCTCACATTTGTCTTTAAGAACTATTAGTGACATCTACAAAATGTTATGATTTTTTCCCAACTCATAAAAATTAAAGATGTTATAATCCACATTCAATCACATGACATACCCTACACCCCCGCCAAAGTTCAATAATGGAATGACTCACAGATTGCATATTAACAGGCTAACCAGTATAAAATGAACACCACACATAAAAAACATTTTTAATTGATCCAGCTCCTACCCTTATATACCATTGAATAATACCACCTGAACACACACACACACAATAACATTTACAGTTCTACATTTTTTACAAGGATGGTAAGGTATGAATGTTACTGTTCTTGGTGGATGAGAGAAAACAGTCATCACAAAAAGAGTGTACATAACAACCAAGCAATGATGTAATAGTCAATATTTTTTTCTATATTCTAACAATACAACAGATCAATTATGTAATTAATATCAACGTTAATAAAAATGAGGGTAGAATTTTCCATTTTTTTTTATTGAATTTTTCTGATAAGATCTAGTAATAATAGTTTTAAATATCAATATGCATTCATTTCACAAGACACTACAGAATACAGAGGCAGGTAACTGCGGCAAATATCGAAGGTAATCAAATGATGTTGCGTGAGACTATTCTTGGTGTGTCATGTTCCATTATGCAAGCCATCTGGACACATTTTCCCCAGTAGTATATGTAACAGCTTTTCAAAACATGCCGAAAAAAATGCAATTGTCTGTCTCTGTATTTTCTAGTATCTTTGCTCTAACTTAGTTAAATTACTACTTTGGTTTATTGGCAACCCTAATATCAGCAAAAATAAAAAAAATAAAAATATAATTACACAAAAAATAATAACTGACATGAGATAAATTATAGAAGTATACTGTAAACCGGTTTAATTTCAATGCAGACAAATTTTCGTTGAAATTTTGTAGCAGTGAATGTTAGTGAAATTAAGACACAGCTTTCGCTTTCGTCATCACAAATGCCATTTTATCGTCAAAATTGCTGTCAACGAAAGTCATATGGTTTACAGTATTACTGCATATATGCCTTACGTGTATAAAGCCATCATTCAATTGCTCCAACTCGGGTTCCTTGGTTAGCGAAGGTTAAAACAGGATAGACAGTAGCGAGGTGAGAATGCTTAATATGGTACACAGAAAGCAATACAAAAAGCCGAATAGAAAGGATGACAAATGCTAAGCAAGAGGATGAGAATTTTCCATATCACTGAATTAGTGGATTGGATGGAATTTGACCAAAATGATCAGGCAGGGCATTATGAAGAACGGACTGAATATTTAGAAATAATTTCTGTCATCGCCATATTGTTTTTGACAACAAAAGTGGCAACAATGCCAGCTAAGTTGCTGACTGGTTTGTTATGCAAGTCTGGAGACTCAATAGAAGACGCAATATCCTTTCTACGTACATTGGGACATCACAAATGGCAAAGTTGTCCAAACAAATTAAACAAAATGTATGTACTGACACACCCACTGAATCAGGACACAGTCACCAATGTGAGCGTAGTGCATGGCATAATGCAAGTAAATTCATCCAAACAGCACACTGCCATAAAAATGGTTTGATCTAAACAGTTCTAATCACTTAACAATCCTAAGACGTGCATAGCAAAGCAGTCAGTAACTTTGAGGTGACAACTGAAAGTGTAGGAAGTACAGTACATGTATATTAGAACAGAGCTGTCTTACCCTTGGGTTATACACTGTCTCGGGAGTCACACTCTACGGTAGCAGCACAAAGAAATAGATCATGGTGTTAAGAGTTAGTGGTGAAAAAGACAATAAGTTGGAAGGATTTAAGTATTGATTTTAAGGCACCACAGAAATTATGCTTTGAATTTCATGTGAATAGACAATGTATTTTACATGCGTTGTATACGTAACATGGGACCCATGTATCGAAACAGAGTGCAACAGTTGTGGTGCTTTAATCTGCGTACATTCAAGAAGTCACTGAACTTGCATAAGTACAATAATGCTCTCATATTGATTTAAAAAAAAATATTTATATTAGTGAGAAGTACCGTAAAATCTGTATTAGAAGCCGCATCCCTAAATTCATCCCCTGTGCTGTATTGTACTATTTTAATAGAAGCCGCAGCTTCTAATACAGATTTTACAGTACATGTAGAACATCACTGATCAGTGCATAAACATTTAAAAAACAAAACTTTTGCTGTTATAGAAATGTTTTATCACAACATCAACTCATTCATTTAAGTTTTTGTATGGTACAGTGTGTTACCACCTGTCCATAGTGGCAGGTTTGGATAGTCCCATTTCAAATGCTACCTGTCTAGAGTGGTTTGGTGGAAGTGAGTCTTGTGTGGTTGATTCACTACATTGCATATTTGGTTATATTACAACAAGCAAAAAAAAAATAGCTCCTTAAGTTTGTTTCCATGCCTACAATCCCTAATCTTGTGGCCATTTTGAATTAGAAAATGTTTCAGGGCTGTACTTATTAGATTTAAAATTCAAAAATTATCATGGGAACATAGTCTTTTTTTTCTATTCTTGGCGAATTCTGTTTAAATATGTGTTAATATTGTTTCTGGTTTGACTATATCGGTACGCGTTGTCGTATAACCATGCTTTACACCACATCTCACCAGCAAGTTTCTGATAATTTTGTTACTGTATATTGCCCTGTAATTTGTAATTCTGTTTGATGAAATTTCATAAATACATACCAGTACACATGCACACAGGGTATTTATAGAATATAAATGAACAAGGTTTGGAAAGTTGGGATTCGGAACCTACCTTATCGACATGCACAGGTATTTCGTCAAACTCTTCAGCCTTTTAGGAAGGAGAGAAAAATGGGTGATAGGACTGGGTGGATTGGGTTGGATCATGCAATGGGGAAACACAAATGTGATGGGTAAAAACAAGAGAACTAGCTGGTTTTATGATAGGGGGCACATCTTTCATGCATAGTGCATTGGTTACAGTTGCATTTATAAAATTTGTTGATCGATAACATTTAATAGCATTTAGTCATGAAACATTGTTAAAAAAAGAATTGCATTTTTTATACCTTATTGCGCAGGGTCGGGATTGGTGGGGAAGCTACCCTGGCTGCATTCTGCAAAGAAAAGTGAAAAAGGGGTAGATATTCAAACAAATGACAAAAAAACAAATTTGGTTCCTATATTTGACAATTTCTTCAATACGAACTATGGAAAACTATGACCACATAACACTAATATTATAGGAATTGAATAATAAAATGTATTACAGTGGTAACAAGTGGTTCATCTGTCTTTATTAGAATTTTGTCAAAAGTTTGATGTTTTAAAGCAGGGGTGTCATCACCTACGCATGCATCAGATGGCCATAGCATGTCATTGTTTACTAACAAGTGAGTACCCATGAGCCGTTGCATTTTAGCATGTGTTGTTATCGTCGCTTGGGACTCAATTCATGCATGTGCGCAGGTGACAACCCTCTCGCTTTAACTACGTTTGCACTACTTAGCTACAGTCATAAAATGTCATAACATTATTCAGTTTGGACATGACACAACACTGTTTGGAAACAATTATTGAAACATCTGTGACTTGATACAAAATGAACCAGATAGAAAATTATTGATTAATTCTGTGAATGAATACGAATGAACCAAAAACAGCTGAAGATCTTAGTATAGATGGTATTTCACTATAATTATGTAAGAAAAGCTAATTTTTTCATGACTTCTCACCTCTGCATACTTTTTCTGCCTCTCTTCATCCTCATTCCTTCTCATTTCTTCTAGTCGCCGATTTTCCTCTTCTCGTCTCTGTCTCTCTATTTCTTTCCTTTTATCCTCAGCAGCCAAGATTAGCTGCTCGTTTCTAAGACGAGCCTGTAAAATGAAATAAATAAATTAATGCAAATTAACACCATGAAAATTAGATAGCTCCGCTGTTAGCAACGTACATTTCAATTAGAGAATTGAAGATATCATTAGAAAATGAACAAATCTGAGAGAGGTTCGCCTGAGGTACCTATACATGTATGTATAGTATCTAAGCAATGGGATTTTCAACAAGAAGTAGAATAAGATATTTCAGAATTAAAGATATCATCATGAAATGAACAAATTTAAAAATAAACACCAGAGATTGTTAAAAAATTATTGCAAAAAAAAAAAGGGTGCATTTTCCTGTTGTCATTACCGGTAATTTCTTTTTTATGGAATATTTTCAACAATAAATAATTTCAATTTTTTTAATTAAACAATTCAATACATATGGTACAACATGGTATGCTTAGATAGACTTCGCTCATAATCTTACGTACCTCTTCCTCTTTCCTTCTCTGTCGTTCTTGCTCCTCCTCAAACTCCTTCTGCATCTTCTCTCTTTCAGCTTGTAGGCGCTTCTCTTCTCGCTCTTCTTCCAGCCGAATTTTCTCCTTCTCTTCGGCGTCTCGTCTCCTCTTTTCGTCAACCTTGAAACAAGTTTAAAAAATAGAAAAGGAAATCACTTGTGAATTAAGATTAATTTATTTTGTCCTCTATGGTGGTATCCTATATTTCATTATGATATTACTATCATTGTAGCTAGGCATGAATGGAGTGGCATGTAGAGAGTGGAATGCTGCATAGATTCTAGGTTTTGTTGATGTGTGAAATCCAGTAGACTGTGATTTGTTTCATTAAAACTGTTTTCATAGACTTTTGCAATATGGTTTCATGTTATGATATTGCTCACAAAACTCAGATAAAAATATCAGATCAGTAAAATACTTTTCATAAACCTCCAGGAAAATTGGGATTTTTTTAGCTAATTGTAGGAACTATTGGTTTCTATGGTAAAAACTTTTCGCCGTATCTAAACATTTTGTGTGGTAACATATGGTGATAAATTTATAATGTAGTTGTGAGATAGATAATTATGAAATTTAGGAAAGAGGTTTTGATGAATATTATTCAGTTTTTCTGAAATACTAGTAAAACTGTAACATTTAACATGTTTTGCATTTTTTCAGGCAGTTTTTCTCCAAAAAAGTAACCTTAACTGGATGGAAAGATTATGATTTGTGTCAAATCAATTATTGGTATGTACAATGTAAAACTTTTGAAAAAAACACCCTTAGTTTGAATATCTATTATCTACCTCAACAGTAATCAGGAAATGTAACGTTTTGCAAGGAAATGTAACGTTTTGCAAGGTAATGTAACGTTTTGCAAGGTAATGTAACGTTTTACAAAGAAATGTAACATTTTGCAAGGAAATGTAACGTTTTGCAAGGAAATGTAACGTTTTGCAAGGAAATGTAACGTTTTGCAAGGTAATGTAACGTTTTGCAAGGTAATGTAACGTTTTGCAAGGAAATGTAACGTTTTGCAAGGAAATGTAACGTTTTGCAAGGAAATGTAACGTTTTGCAAGGAAATGTAGCGTTTTGCAAGGAAATGTAACGTTTTGCAAGGAAATGTAACATTTTGCAAGGAAATGGACAAAAAGTATATTCATACCTGCTGCTGTAAATAGTCTTTGTACGAGTCTTGAGCAGTTTTACCTTGAGCAATCTTATTCGGGTCTTCATTCTCAAGATTCCAGACATTTCCTCTTGCAAACGTTGGCTTTGATGCATCAGCAAACGCAGCTATGTAACAGAGAATGATATAAAATGAGCGTTGAAATCACAGCTCTATTCATTACAATTATGTGTTGTAACAGTTATTGTGCGACAACTTTTTGCTTTTTGCTTAAACACAACCAAGATGCAGTTAATAACATGAACCTGCGAGTACATGTATATATGTAGGACCTTTCTTTGTGAAGAAGAATTCAGTTGGAGTTTTAGATACCGTAATACCTATGATAACACAAGACACTAAAAAGATGACAATATCATATTATATTACAAATTAATAATTAACATTTAAACATATAATAATATTAAAAAGCATTTTTTTTATTTACTTGTTCACCCCTTTTTGTGTATAATGGAATAATCCAAAGCAAGGATTTGGGTGATACCAAAATACATGTCCAGGGGGTGAAAGCTTACAAATCGTGTACCAGCAAAAACAAACGATAAATTTACAGTATAAAGAAACAAAAATACAACAACTGGTTATATCAATCGTACCTTGATTTAATATTTTTTTTTTTTATAATATAATATAAACACAAACATTTTAACTTACGCCACCTAATAATAGTTTAAAATATTACAAGATACCACATGCTGTTAGTTAGAGAGACAAGGAAAGAGATAGCAAATGTTAAACAAAAAAGCGAAATGAACATTAATATGCAAGCTTTAATTTACACCCAAATTCTTAATAATTTATAAAAAAACAAACTTGTTTTATTGTCTGATGTCTCTGTAAGATACCAAAATAATTAATTTGCTCTGACTGTTAAAACAAAAGAATTCAAAACTGCATTATATCAGTGCATATTGGAAATCCGACTTGGAAGCTACGTCAAACATTGATATACATTTTTGTACTTGTAGAGCAAAACAAAATTGTTTGGGTTTATTTCTTTTTTTAAATAATACCACACAGGTGGCTTTTTATTCTTATTTGTAAATTGTCATAAAATATTTAGTATTTTTTACCAAAACTATTTATGCTTTCATTATTTTTTTAAATTCTGTCAAAAAAAAAAAAAAGCTGTGACTGATGTTATTATTCGAGAGAAGAAAGGGGCCTAGTTGAAAAACGGAAATTGATTTGATACGAGTATCTACACATAGTAGGTGGCTAAAATGAGGCTAAAGTGCAGTGTGGATAATCTTCCATATAAAACTTGCCAGTATGATTTTTATAGGAACATACACTGGTAAAAGAACAATGGCGCAGGGCAGAAGCTGATGCTGCCTAGCTTCAAAATTGATTTTGAACTAAAAATCTAAATCTTGACTATACATTCCTGAAAAAATGGCTGCTGAATATTGCTGTCTCCAACCAATTGATATGACAAGGTTTCAGTTTACAGGATTTTCAATATCATGATATCCATGTTTTTTTTCATTCTTTTGAAAAGACGGCAATGAGATTTTTTTTTTCAATTTTTCCAGAGACATCAATTCAAATGAAAGCCAAACAATAATTAATAACAAATGACAAAAAAAAATATTTAAACAAAGAATTTGGGTGGGTAAGTGCACCTTACCATTGTTACCATAGTTACCTGAAAGCTCTAGTGTTGGTGGTTGTTCAGATTGCCCGTTAATGCCTGGATTGTAAGCTTTATAATAACAAATGGCATGCATATGATGGATGTGAGACATGTATGGTTTGGATGAATGATCAATGAGTGAAGCGGACAGATAATTAATAAACCCAAGCAAGGGTGGGGGGAGGGCGAACGAAGGTGGATGTTCTTTTCTTCTTCATTGGAATCATTTCACTCCAAGTAAGAATACGTTTACATTGCTTGGTTCCGACACAAACCTTGCACACACTACTAGCAAAGTCCAACTTAACTACCGATATATTCATATTAAGGGGCTGTTAATAATTAAAACATGCAAATAACCATTCAAAATAATTGGCAGATTTTCCAAATAAGGTGATTCAGTTTGGGGGTCGCTTCAATTAGATGGGCACTTCTAACAAAAGGCTATTTGTATGTTTCATGATAAAGCTATGTGAAGTCCTTTCCACATGATACAACTATCCCATGCTAACTTAACTACTTGTACATGCACAGGCATCTTTACTGGAGATACGCTTTTAAGACAGTAAATAGTAAATTAGTAAATATGACTAGAATGTGTTCATGAATTCAGGCATGTCTCTTTCTGTGGTTAACACGTAACTTTTGAATATCACTATTGATCACATTTCTCAATATCCATACCAAACGAACAACCACACATACCTAACTTCACATTCCTCAATACTAGTATTCATAACAAACGAACAACCACACATGCCTAACTTCACATTCCTCAATATCCATAACAAACAAACAACCACACATGTCTAACTTCACATTCCTCAACATCCATACCAAACAAACAACCACACAAGCCTAATTTCACATTCCTCAATATCCATAACCAATCTTCTTCCCAGATGCCTTTGCGCTTTACGCAATAGTGCCTCTGCAGCCTTCAGGCAGCCTTCAATTTTGTGGTCAATCACCTCACTACGCACGGCCATTTTTCCGCGGGTGTTTCATTCGAAACCGAACTACAAAAAGTGTGAAAAAACGTATGTGACATCCGAACTATTTATTAATGTCAGACTTCAGTAAAAACGTAAATACGAACCATTTTATCACGGACTATGTTTTGCAAGGTAATGTTATTGTAGTGAAATGGTGCG